TTAGCCTTAAAGCTCTGTCAAATATTCAGGACAACCAAACGCATCCAACTTAGATCCCGGACTTGACTTTTCTTCACGCTTCAGCCTGCACAGAGCCACTACTGCCATTGCTAACACATCGCGCAGAACTCCGGTAGCCTACCGCTGTTCAAACAGAAAAACCAAAACCCAACAACAAAATGACAGCATATACAACTCCTCCCATCGCTCAAAAATCCTGTCCGCGTGTCCCCGCAACTTGATATTATTCTTAAACAAAACGTGCTGGCTGCTGTTTACGTCAAGTTTGCCAGCAAGGCAAAGATAAGAGTAAAAAAGATAAGAGTAAAAAAAGTTAACACAGCTAGAAGACTTATCTGTGGAGATTTGCATTCTCTGCACCTCAAGAGCGGCAGTACGATGCTTCTCACGGTTCGAGAATTTAAGCGATGTAGGTGTTTCTATGAACAGCCTGTTATTTAAATGCATAACGCCAAGAGCGTTTTATGGTCCAACTATGCCTAAACGGACCAGCTTATTTTAAACACAGAACTGTACCACTGGACTTTATTAACACCAAGTAGTGGGAAGCTGCTGCGAAGAGCTACTGTCTACAGAGAAAACCGGAGGCAAACCACAGTATCTTGGCCATACCCATGATGTAAATCCTGACAAAATGGGAGCCACTCTCTACAGGACATGCATCAGCCATCGGGATAGCCTGCACCTGCACTTCTGGGACAGCTGCTGACACTACACCACCTATAGTTACCTCAGCTACATACCAGTAATAGTTTATTCAATTATAATATTAATGCAATCGCATAAACCTTCTGCCATCCATATTCATTCTGCTGTTCACATTACAGCTTTTACAGCCATCGCTTCACATGAAAAATTACAAGTTAATTAGCGGAGACAAAAAGTTTCCTGAGTCTTGGCAGCAACGCTTCTCCGGTTTAGGTTTAAGTGTAACCCGCTGGATGCCTCACAAAGCCACCGAGACCAACAAGCTTACTCGGATCCATTTTTCCAATAGAAAGTTGCCAAGTTTGCATCTTTGCTCATTTAATTTGCTAATGAAACCCAATCTCCCCTCAGAAGGGGAAATACCTTTTTAAAAGGACACAACCACGCTTAGCAGCGTGGGCATGGCAAAAGTGTAATAAAACCCAAACCACACCTAACTTTATTATAAGAACTAAGGCTAGAATTTTTTATTTTAAACTTCCACAAATTATTAAGAATTTTTACCTGCACATTACATTATCGAGGTAGGGGCAACGGCGTTACTAGAGCTTCTGGTCTACCTCTGCGCCAGATGCGCTACTGAACGCGTCCCGCGTTCCCCAAGCCCCCCCTTGCCCCCCCCAATTCTTCCACCCTCTCCAAATCCCTCATTCGTCTCGGCCCAAAAACCAGACAGCCCAGCTCACACCACTGCTGGCAGTTCTGCCTTCTCCAGCGTCGTTTCGTTTGGTGCTTAAACAAGCAAGAGGCACTTTAACATAGAAAATCGGACAGATTATAGTACGAGACAAACTAGATCCTGTTTCACTTGGATCCGATCGTATCGCAGCGTCCAAGGAAGGCAATACGTTTATCTGCTTTATTATAAAATTACGTTCCACTCTTTACATCGAAGAGAAACTCACGCCAAGTTTCCACTATCTAAAAACCTACAGCAAATAAAGCGGAAAAAGCAAAAGAAGAAAGAGTAAAAAAAATGCTGCGCTGTTTACTAGCACTATATATTCTCCCACAGAAGAAGTTAAAAAAGATTATTTCGGAGACATTCACAGTTCAAAAGTATTCCAGCTCTCAAGCACAATGGAAACGTCTGTTATTACAAATGACTGTTCAGCTATAGTTCCTCAGCCACTTCCAAAGTTTTCCTGGAACAGTTTAACTGCAATCCATAAGTAATCTGTTAGCAATCGATTTATAAATAAAATGTGTTGCAGCGCAATTTAGTATCCGCGGTTTCAGGCAATCACTTGAGTGCTTTCAAAATGTGTAACAGAATGTCATAGTGACATTTTTAACGCTGCCTGAATATTTATATTGAGTGCCCAGAAAAAAGCCAAGCAAATGAAAGAGTTTAAGCAAGCAGAATTACAGCTCCATTGACTGCAAAACAAAACTTCCCCTACAATGTAAAATAGGAGAATTTAAGAATGCTTCTCCTCCGAGTCTGAAAAGTCATGAATTGATGTAGGCAAGAATCACTTTCAAGGCTATTGGAAGTTGTTTGCTAGAGATTTCTAAGACGATCCTGTCTAAAGCATCATATTTTAATGTCCCATAAACACTTTTTACATTAAAAACAAATAAAACCAAACCAAAAACTGGTAAAGACACAGATTTATTTCTTTTAATTAGGACGACACGCTAGAACACGAGCTCAGAAGCCTGCAGTTAAAAAGCCCCAGACACCTAGGAAAGCTAAATTCTCCTACTAATGCCACGCAAGAAAAATCAGGTCTTTTTTATTGACTTAAAACAGGTTTTATTGTGAGTCATAACACAAGCTGCCAAGTGAAATATAGACTTCTTTAAAAATATAAATCAATGAAGCTTCTTCAAACTCCGTTGTTTCCAAACAGCATTATTACATTTGTATTTAAGATTACGAAAAGAACCTGCTCCAGAGAGTTCTGCAGCAGGCTGCCGAGCTTTACAGTTAAATCAACTTAACTGAATGTTAAGAGAACGTGCATATGGAAACGGCAAGCTGAAAAACAGAGCTATAGGCAATTCACGAGGGGCAAGCTGTGCAGCAGCAAGAATTTCAGCATTATGCTACTGGGGAAGGAAGAGAATGGGGTGTTGAGGAAAAGTTAAGTTTTAGGCTGGTACAATCATTTTCATTAACACCAGATTTCTTGCAATCAAGGTACAAGTTATTAAAATGCAGCACAAGCTGCAGCAGAGAGTGCCGAGTCCAGCTGGGTTTCGCTCGATACCACCGCGGGAAACCCATCGAGACGAAAGCGGTACCAGCGCCAACCATCGCTTGCACCCGGGACCTCGAAATGCTCCCCCCCCGACGGCAGAGCTGCTCACGCCCTGCTGCCACCCTCGGCTGCGAATACGGGTACGCAGCAGCGGTGGAAGAACAGAGCGTGTTGAAGAAGTCTGAAGTCCAAGCGGGGGTTAAAAGAAAAAAATCCACTTTCTTGTCACAGATCTAGAGCCCTTCGAGCTGGTTCTGGAGCTCCCTCTTGAGGTTAGACACACTACAGGAAAGCCATTGCTATATCCTCATCACCGATTCTACTCAAAATGAGCGTACAAATGAGCGTACGTCCTTGCAAAAGGGATTACCAAAGGCGCCTCCTCAACCCTCTGCACGCTACTTTGTAGAGAGCATTAGATGCTTTTGAGTCGCAAGCGCTGCAATCTTAAAAAGATGATGAGAAGACAAGCACGTGTTAAACTGGGGAGATAAACTGAAGAGGTGCTTTCCGTACACCCGGCTGGCAGCCAGCGCAGGAGCACCACAGGCAGTAAAGCCCTGTTACTGTGAGTCGTGAAACGGAACGGCACACACTGATGGTGAGAAACCAACAGCGGTGTCCGTTTGTAAAGAAACTGCAACGTCACTGCGTTTATTTAAGGCTGTTAACGTGTCCCACTCTTTGGGTGACCTTTTAGGTGCTCCAGGCATCCACCTGTCTCCTTGCTAGAGCCACCTTGCTCCACAAAACCCGATGGCATCACTCCATCGTCTTTGTGGCCACCAACTGCTATAGGGGCTGACACCTCTGTTTCTTAATGTGCTGAATTCAGTGCTTGCCGGTTCGGAAAACCCTTTAAACAGGTTCTGCTGAAATTTCACTCTCAAACCCAGGGTCTTTCCACAAGCTCTAGAGGGCCCCCGCATGGAAGATGCTTTCAACACAGAAATTCCTGAGAAAAGGATTTCTCCAAACTCTTGTTGAGAATTTTTTCCTCTCCCACAATAGCTACAGGTTCAAAATCAGATGGCCAAGGAGGTCTTGGGAAGCAGCGCAAGAGCCAAAAGCACAAGCCTTGCCTACGATGGTCACATCTGACTACTGCCGAGCCCCCACTCAGCACCTTCCTCAGGCCTTGAGCAACCATCCATGCTGGCCAGCTGGGTCGTCTGTGACTGCCCCGGCCTCAACACTGCTGAGACGACCCACCTAGCAGGGACGGGTTTCTCTGAGAATCCATAATTCAGAAAAGATTATTTTTTTTTTTCTAGTCGTACTTTTCCAGGGAGGCTCTCCCTGCCATTTCTTTAACGAAAGAAGCATTTTTAACCCTTTTCCAGCTCAAACTGTGAGGTCTTCCACAGACTATCAGAGATCAAAGTCACATCATTGTAAATCTTACATCTCATGACAAGGCTTGTAGTTTTAGCCAGCTTTTCTATTTTAGGGCAGAACAGATTTCAACTTGAATGTCTCGGAACAGCAACACACACTTTATTCAGTTGTCCTTAGCGATTAAAGTAACACTAAAGAAACACACAAGTCAAACGAGATGCTAGCTCCTTGCTGTGCTTGAAACGTGTAAAATATTTGTCATTTCATAAACTTAGCCCTTCATTTGATGCATCAGTTCTGAAACAGGCTTGCTGTTTTCAGATGCCGGGTTGCAGCCAGATCACCTTCTAAAGCAACACACATTTTTTGGTTAACCCCATGCTAGAATCTCCCTCCTCTACATTCTGTGAAAAAGGCAAACAGACCAAAAAAGAACCAACAAAAAACCATACTAGCTAGAATCAGATCTTATTCGATCGGCACAGGAGCTTGTGCAAATAGTGCACAACTCATCAGCTTACCAAATGCAAGACTAAAAAGAATGGCTTGAAACTTAGACCTAGAAAGGGTCTCTCTGCTGCCAGAGGGCACTGGCCTAAGAGTTTTAGCTCCCTACAACCAAAAGACATCACGATAAACTACCAAAAATGCCAAAGTAGGTTGGGAATACATATAGCCCACACTAGGTCCTAAGCAATTTTCTAGAAGTTAAAGATGTTTTCTTACTTTTCATGGTGCCCTCCTCCTCTTCGTCTTCTGTGTTTATGACCATTGTACCCAACTGGGATTCCAGGGTGCCATCATGTTCTATCATTGTGTTGGCTCCATCGCCCATCGTGTTGATAGCTCTTATGGTACCAGTTTCATCTCCGCTCGCCCTCACCATGGTACCTGAATCGGTTTCATCTTCTTCCTGTACAAGGATGCCATACATACATTTTTACTGATGGTGGTGAAGTCCTGCGAAGAGTGGCTGTCTTCAAGGACACTAGCAAGTCTTACTAATTCAGAGATTTTTACAAATACACATGGAAGCCAATGACATTTCGGTTTATGCATTTAGTTCTCTCCCTGTCATCTCCAAGCAGGTAATGAAAAGTCTTCATACTTTCTGCCAGCGCGATAAATAAGAGAACAGATAAATAATCAACAGAAGCGTCTCAATGCAACGTGTATCTCATTTCTGACCTGGTGACCTGTCTGTAAGAGTAGATTACAATACTCAGTCCGTCAGTCGTGTTTCTAAACTAAAACCCCTATGTCAAATGGTACAGCTCATCGAGGAGTCATTAGTTATTAGACAGCAACAGGCCGAAGTCTGGAGTGCATGTGGCACACCGAAGAAAAACGGTCACCCCGGTTGTTTTTTTTTTTTTAGAAGTCTGCCTTTAACATTTAGGTAGTTTTACTTGCTATAAACTTCAGAAGCACTGAAGAAAAATTAACTGAATTTGCAAATCTTTAAAAAGGAATGAAATAAATTATCAAAGGCTAGCCATTTTTTCAGATGAAAATCGTTTCTTATCTTTTTCATTTGTTAACAGGTAGCAATGTTATAGAAGTTTCAATTTTTGCTGTCAAGGCTCAAGAGACTGACTCTGCAGGAAAACACAAGCTCCTGAAACAAATTCTGGTAGGACAGCTTCCTGCAGACAGTTACGTTAGCCAGAGGCAGTAGTTTCACTAGGTGGTGTGTGCTTCGCTAAGTATATATCGTGACCAGGATTTCATGAAGAACAAGGTCAAAATTTCCACAATCTATTTAGTTTCTTGGAAACGTGGCCCAGGTATCCAGCTACAACAACAGAAGTCACTTCCTAGGTTTACAGCAGCGTTTCTAGGCATCTCGCCTCGGATGAGATGCTCATGTTTTGTTGTAAGGATGAAGTTCACAGTTCTGTGTGCGTGACCATGGGCTTACTGACCTGTATTAGGGCTAGAGGGAAAACACAGGTCTCGCACATCAAGCTGTAACACTCCATCTCAATGTCACTGAAAGAAAGAAGTACAGCCCTCCACCTTCTGGTGTTCCATGCATTTGATCTGTTCTGTCAAGGGTGTCGATGTAATTTACTTCCCAAGCTCAAAACCAATAGCAAGAGGAGGAGAAAACTATAGGAGATGTTAATGGAGGAAAAGTAATTTCATGTGGAGATGAGTGGGTGAGAGGAAGTAATACATTTGTTAGCTACACATCATTTAACAAAGGACTACAGCAGAAATTTCCACAGCACTTGGGGAGTGCTCGGGAACACTTTTCTGCTAACAGACACGGAGTAGAGAAGCTTCGGGAAGACACACACACACCGACGGAGGCCACAACTCCACTACATAGACACCATCTCTCAGCAGTGTGACTCCAGATCAGTCAGAAATGAAGGAGAGAGGGTAGGGACAATACTCTTCGAGTCAACATCATGGCAACAGGACCAATAAAATTACTTCCACACTGAACAAAGATGCAGTCCCCAACCGGAAAACTAGATGAACGACGTCTTCAGCATAGATACCATGGACCATGCTACAAAAGTCTAACCTCTGAAAAGGACTCTGGCATACAATGCCTTTTGCTGCCCGTTTCATTTATGCAGGTTGAAGCAGGCAGAGGCTCAAAAACCAGCTTTTGACATGCTTTCCATATTCACATGCTGTGACCACTGAAACAAGGAGCCCCAACTTAAATGCACAGCAATCCCTTGAACACTTGTCATGCCCTCACCTCAGGTTTCTGTCGGTTGCTCTTGTGTAGTAGGAAGTTTCTATAAGGGGGGTTCTAAAGCACAACAATAGTAAAACAACATAACATATCATAGTGCATCACAGATCTTATTTTATACTAGGAGAGCAGTCAAAGAACTGAATCTACAATGAAAAATTCTCATTACTGCAAAAACAATATAACCCAACTGGGAAAACGTATCAAGTCTTTCGCATACACTACTTTGTAGACTTACTCAGTCGCAGGTCTCTAGCTACACTCGAAGCAAAACAGTAAGCCATACATGCTGGCTATCCCAGTCAAATACGAAGATTGAGCAGAGACCAAGCATCGGATTAAGCCGTCATAAAGTAGAAAACTCGAGAACTAAGTCAAATCCACGTGCAATTGGACAAAATATTGCAAAACCAAAAACCAAAGCACCTAAGCCTGATGAAAGGAGCAAGAGTTTGGACTTTGTACATTGTTGCTATTAAATACTCACCGAGTTTTCTTCATCATCTTGATCTAGTTCACGCTGTTGCGCCTCCTGACGTTTCAGCTTGATATCCATTGCTTCATTAATCAAGTCTCGCAGAATTGACACTCCTTTGGCACTTTTAACAAATGGGTGCTGAGAAGTATTTTAAAAACGAATGAGCACTGCATCCGAACCAAGATATAACAGCAAAACACTTACTATGGCCCACTTCCAATAAAAATTAAGGTTTAACTCAATGCCTTACTAAAATAAAAATCCAACACTTCTCTTTGGCACAGGAGGGAGACCTCCCACCCTCCAAACACACTCCAACGGCACTACTGCTGTGAGGCCTTGGGCTTGTTCCCCTCCCACAACTCTACTTATTGCTCTCCTTAACGGCGTAGCTGTCAAGAACCAAGTACACAGATCATGATCATGCCTAGACCATTCTGAGCAATCAATTCCATTTAGCCTCCCCTTTTTAGTGTTTTAAGAGGCAGTCTCTTGGCAGTGCTGCTGAGAATTTGAAAATAAAAGGAAAAAAAACCTCCAAAAGCCGAACAAACAAAAAAACAACCCAGAGAAGACAAACATAGGAAGTGGGACTGGTTCTTAGGGAAGAACTGAAAAGTTGAAGTTGAGCGCAAGATTTCTGAGATGAGATATTAAAAAGTAAAATCTGCAGTGAGCAGGAGCAGCAAGAAACAAAACCAACATCTCAACAGACACGCAGCACTGCCTACCCGAGCAAGCCTTCTCTAGAGTTTATGTTCTTGTAAGAAAAGGCAGACCTGCAGAAGCTGTGTCGCAGTGGCGCGCTGCTCCGGACTCTTCACAAGACACTGTTTTACAAAGTCCGTGAAATTGTCTGACCAGAGCTCTGGTTTCCGGAATGTTGGAGGCGGATTCGTAGGAATCATGAAAATTGCCTGAAAACAGAAGAATATTCCAGATTTCCAAACAAAGTTCAAAGCTTTCCAACAATACAACATAAATACACAAGGAAGACATTCCAAGTTTGCTGCTTCTGAGAAGTGTGTGCCAATAGTATACACAAATTTGCTCAGAAGGATCAAGTAGCAAGAAAGCAGACTTTTCTCACCAGATGCTTACACCTCTGTCTGAGCCGTTACATGCCCCAAAAGGTGTGAACATGCCATTTTTAGTCTTAAAAGTTTGTGCTTACACAAAAAAATATGGTTTGGATAATGCAGCTGAAAACATGTTTCTTCACACCCAACACAGGGAGCTTCAGCTATGACTTAACAGAAGAGGATCGTGATTTTCCTTCCCACGCAGAGTCTCCTTCTCAAAGACCTGCTTTTCATTTAATCGACCGTACAAAGAACTGACAGAAAACAAACCATTTACTCTAAATTAAAAGCAAGACGGTATGTTGATGTGCTATTCAGCCAGCTGTAATAGCAAATCCTTTCCATACAGCCATACATTTTAAAAGGCCACAGTCCTTACCCTCATAGGATGAATATCTGCATACGGTGGCTTGCCTTCAGCCATTTCTATTGCCGTGATTCCCAGGGACCAGATGTCTGCAACACAATTATACCCAATTTCTTGAATCACTTCTGGAGCCATCCAAAACGGGGTCCCTATCACCGTGTTCCGCTTTGCCATGGTGTCCTGAGAAGAAGAGCAGGATAAAGATCCAACCAATGGCAACTGCATTAGCCACAAACATTCATTAATGAATTATCCCCCTAGTTATCTTTCACTTGCACACACACGCATTATTAGATTCGGCAAGACTGGGATACAGAAGGCTGCAAAGAGGAATTGAAATGTGCTTACAGAAGTTAGAAATATTCTGAAGAGAACAGCAAATGCTGTTCCAAACCATTCCTTAGGCATAGCAGCTTCCACAGAGGAAGCTCTGCTCTAATCTCTTGCTGGTTTAGAGTCTCATTATGTTGATGCAAAGTGCTAAAAACCAGTTTAGAACAATTTTGCAAAGTCTTCACAAGCACGTCGTACTTGCACGTAGGTTAAAAAAGACAGACTGAAGTGGACACAACCGCCGTGGTTTTACTTACCGTAAGTTGTCCTGCCACTCCAAAATCTGCAAGTTTAGCATGTCCCTCTGTATTTAGCAATATATTTCCAGCTTTGATGTCCCTGTGTATTTTCCTCATAAAATGCAGGTACTCTAGTCCTTTCAGTGTTGATTGCACTATTGTAGCGATTTCCTCCTCTGTGAGCTAAAGAAAAGAAGAGTTACTGCCAGCCTACGGGCTGTTGACACCTAACACTATTGTGGTTCAGCCGACGTTTTCCTGAGATTCCCTAACTGCCATTTAATTGCCTTCGCTAAAGGCTGCCATACTAATGGGGAAATTAGTTAGCAACTTACAGCATTATGTAGTAGAATTAGATTACAACCACCATACATATACACACGCACCGTATTTCACATACCATAACCCTTTCTCAACTAGTAATTCTTATTCTGCAATAACCAAAGTAAGGCAAAGTAAAGTCTGTTATTCAGAATCAGTCTGGGTTTTCAGGAAAGCCAATAAACTAAAATCTGCTCCACCGATTACATCATCCAGATAACCAAAACTCGATCAATGGAACCAGCTTTCCCATTTTCAGAGGAACAAAGGACCCGCGTCCCAAGTTATGGCAATGGTTGCATCAGGCATTGAACACCGTGAGAATTACGCCCAAACGCCAGTGCGCAAACTACTCGGCTTCCTTGAGCTGTCGGACACCCAGATTTCCCATGCATACATTCAAAGGAGAAAGGACGTACAGTTTTGTTTCGTAATCGAATAATATCAGACACAGATCCAGCGCCGCAGTATTCCATGACTATCCACAGGTCTGTGTTCTTAAAATAGCTGCCGTAATATTTCACCACATGAGGACTATGAAATGTGGAAAAAGGAGAAGAAAACAAAGGGTCAAATACCAGTAACCAGCATAACTGAACAGCCAAAATGCACTGCAGAGGCCCTAAGTATGTTTTAGAAATTCAGAGTTGAAGCGCCACTGAAACTCTGATCAAAAGTATTCCAAAACAATCTGAACTCGCACAGGGCTCCTGCCGTCCTGCCAGCCTCTGCCCCACCGCAGCGCTCATCTGACCTGCCGGTAAGGCAGTTCAGAGAGCTAAACTGTCTGAAAATAAATCCTATAGAAATAAGGAGCGATTAGCCTTCAATCTGGTTTAGCTCCCTGAACTGGATTACAACAAGGTCAGTGCTATGGCAAGCAAGAAGGCAGGACAAGGGAATGAGAAACAGAGCATGGCAGTCCCTGCTAAAGTTGCTCTGCAACCAAATGGAAACATTAAATGAAGTCCCAAGTTTGCTGGAAAACAGCTATCACGTTCATAAGAGGAGCATTCCCCCACTACCACATGCACCTACTTGTTTCGACACTTTGGTCCAGGATGCATTTGAGGCATCCAGTACAGCCTAAGGCTGTCTCCCACAGTCAGCTATCTGGCTGCCCAAGAAGCTAACCACCTCACGAAGTGCATTGATCAGCATAACCATCTCTCCTCCGGAAAAAGGAAAGCAGGAAACTAACAGCAAAAACTGTTCCTGATTTTGTGGGAACGGAGCTAAGGACCAGGAGTGCACCTCATCCGTTCCGCGCTGAATATTTTCTACTGAAAAACTGTAAGAGTAGCAACTCAGTCACACCGCCCAGCGTCCCTTAACGCTGGCGCAGAAAACGCGCTGCTCCAGCGATTCACTCCCTCTGCTGTTCATAACTGTAAGGTCTCCTTTTAGGCCTCACAACGTTAATACTTAATTTCTTTTCGGAAAGAGACACCTAGTACTGCTTTCCAAGTTATGCAGTAAGATTTTTCATGAACAAATTCTTTCAAAGTTACATGTTGTTGTCTGCCACCAGTCACCTTCATTTAAAAACAGTGAGAGTAAAGTGCGATAGAATGACTGGGACCATAGCTTTATATTGCTAATGCAAACTATTTTAGATAGTTTCCCCTGCCTGAAGTCCATCAAAGTAGTGCTTCTTACGGCTAAATTCATAATACCAGAAGAAATTAGTATATTTTAAACTTTCAGCCTAGGGGACACTTTGAGAGAAGGCCTTTTGCACCCACGAGCCCTTAGTTAGCTATGTTAGTACAACATCTTTTCCCGTGAGAAACGTGCAAAGACAACCCAGAGAGCCAACCATCAGCCCGCAGAGCTGCCAGCCAGTTATTCTGGGGATGCTCAGATCAGCAGACAGCTTGTACCGCACTAGGACCTGCACAGGCAGAAAACGGCCGGGAAGGACAATTCTGCCACCCAAGCCGATGACAGCACGTCGATGATGCACATGCAAGAGCAGTCATGCATTAGTGGCTCTCATCCACATGCTCCTTAAAAAAACCCAAACAAACCCCTCTCCTAACAATTTTCTATGTCCATATTAAAACTTGTTTAGAATTCGTTACCCCTCTGGACACAGGAACTGCTGTTCTAGCACACAACCATGTTACTACTGTTCAACACGCGCTGGTGCATGGGGAGAACCGCAGTAGCCGCCCGCACGCTTGGCTCTCGGCTGGCAGCAAGTGCAAGGTTATTCAACTTAGCTTAATGCTCTCTTGTTGCAAGCTAAATTTTTGTCGTCTTACCTTTGCTTGGATTAACACTACCCAAATGGTCAGTTAACATGACTCAGTTGATACGAGGTAACTTGATCGTACAAGTCCGGCCTTTTAAAAAACATTTAAGGCAACATCATGGCTTTTATTTGATTAAATGCCAGATCACAGACAATACTTTTCTTTGCATACCGATAATGGGGTTTGCAGTATACATTTACCTGTCACATTGCTGCATTATGGATATTTCCTTTATAATCTCTTGCAGGTCAGATTCCACAGGAACTTGTTTAATTGCAACAACTTGACCCGTTTCTTTATGAATGGCTTTGAACACGCTGCCATAGGAACTATGAAACAAAACATTAAACAAACACTGAATATAACGACATTTTAAAAACGCAAATGTTATGGTTTTGCTTTTTGCAAGTGCAGCCATCAGGTAAAAAATTAATTATCCTTCTGCTAAAAATATTTTGTAACGTAAATGATCGGTCCACCAGCTTCTAAACACTATAATAATACAAATAAGTCACAGCACACTGAGACAGTCAGAAAGGAGCCGACCATCATTACACGGCCCGTAGCTTTGGGAGCGCCTTTTCCACTAATCCAACAACACAATTCTCTCTTTTTCCAGCCTATGGTACCAGCTGAGCATCAGTAAGAACTACAGCTCTGGTCAGAGAGGTTTGCTTGTCCTTGCCAGATATTATCTGTCTTATTCCCAGCTTCCTTATTTACAGCAGCCAGGCAGATTTACAAATCAGTTTTTTTCAAATGAACTGCTTAGGGTGGCAAACACGGCTCTCCCCAAGCGTTCCCATGCTGCTCTGCCTTACCAAGTGGCACAACGCCACAGAAGCTCATTTCCCCCACGCAAGAGGTACCAGGGATGAACTACAAAACCTCTCGAGCTCCCACAGAGCCCTATCAACTCCAGGCTGGCTTTTCTCAACAATGTTTTAACTCCCTACTGCTGAGCCGTAAGCTACTGGTTGGATTAAGATATCTTACTCTTGGGAAACAAATTCTTTGTTCTGTTACTAACCAGACACTGTCGGTATGTCAGTACAGACCTTTGCAGTAACAGGATCACGACAAAAGTGAAAAATCAGAGACCGCCGAACACATACACGTTACGTAGATTTGTTCTTAGAGAAACGTACGTGGGGCACACTGGAATAGACCACATACCCTTCTCCAAGCTTCTCCAGCACATCAAATACTTCTTCAGGCTGTTTGGTTAAACTGTCTTCATCCAACTTCTTCAGCTGCCTGTAGATGTAAGAAGAGAGAAATGATTACATTTAATTTTATGGCAGTTTGGGCTTTGCTGAAACAGAAGAATAAATAGCACCGCTTAAACGTACGCAAGGCTTAGCATGAAGTAAATTGATTATGAAGTAAGTTTATTTCACCTGACTAGGAGAGCAAATATTATTAGCATCCAATAGCAAAAGAGGACTGGGAACTGCAGAGAACAGCATTTGATCAGGCACACAAATCTACAGCTCCTCTTCGCAGAAACGCATCTCAGGATCTACACGCTGGTGGTCAAAACCCAACAGAGCACGGCAGAGTCTTGCAGCTATTGAACGTATCTGCTAACGGCCGGTATCTTGCACGGAAGGATACGTGCTAAGCCCATGCAAAGGGAACATCATCTTCCCTGATGCCTCGGAGTATGTGTGGCATACATTTGTTGGGAGGAAGGAGGCAATACTGATCTCACCTACGCATTTTTAACATCATAGAATCGTTAAGGTTGGAAAAGACCCTTAAGATCATCGAGTCCAACCGTCAACCTATCACTGCCAAGTCCATCTATA